TGGAGATCTCTTTTGATGTCATCGTCACCAATGCCGAGTCATATCAAGCCATCGTTGGAAACAATTGGCTTTCTAAAGCCCAAGCTAGAATTGACTGGGTAGTTTCAGAAATGACCCTTACTTGGAAGGGTAAGGAACTTACTCTCCTCGTAGAATTCAAAAAAATTACTATGTCCCTTTTGATAACAACTGCCCTATAACAGTCCACAACGTCGACAAAGAAGCTAAAGAAGAAAAAATCGAAGAAGAAATAGAGAATAGTGATGAAGAATATGAGGAAGAGAAGTTAGAGGATAGGATTTATAGATATTCTGAAATAGATAAAAATGAAACCCCTACTCCCCTACCTTTATCTAGTTCTCCTGATATCTCGATTTTAGATTCTCCTATCAACGTACATTATATACTCCTCAATTCATCTCTTCTGCCTCTATCCCCAATAATAAAGACAATAATATTCCTCTCCTAAACATCCTAGCTTCTTACACAAGCTATTCTATTTTCCTCAAATCAATGTTTATGACTTCTTACCTTTTACCTCTTCGGCCCCGCCTTCAGTAAATTCTTGTTTTATCTAGATTGAAGATTGTTAATGAAGGGAGATTCTTGTTTCTCTCTCTAATTTGAATAACTTATCTCCATTAACTTATTATAACCCCAATTCGGATAGTTTTAGCGAAAATGAATAGTATTTCTACCTAGATTTTAGTTCTGATGCAAATGATGATATCGACGAAGATAATCAAAGGACAAAAATAAGGAAAGGGAAAAATAGTAGATGTAAGGTTAAATACCTTTATGATGAAGTGGAAAACACTTACCTTGAGGAAGAAGCCATCAAACCTGACCCCTGTGGATGTATTGTAGATACCTATTCTATTGAATCCCTGTTAGTAACCTCTTCGATTATTATTATGAAGAATGGCAAGATTCTTATAAAATCAGAAGTCTGGAGTCCAGACAACATTTTCAGCTCCAGAAATTTCTAGGTAATAACCTAGATCTTTTTATTTGGGAGAAAGGGCCAATAGGCCAAACTAATTTTGTAAAGCATCGTATTGATACCATGATACACTTCCAATTAAGCAATACTTATACCAGCATTTCCCTGCTAAAAAAAAGATTATCCAAGATGAAATTGGGTATGTGATTTAAGCTAAAATCATTCGTCCCTGCCAAAGCCCTGGACCTCTCCTGTCATATTGGTTTCTAAAGAAAACAGAAATACCTGATTTTGTATCGACTAACGTAAATTAAATGCTGTCACTATCAAAGATAATTATCTCTTTTCACACATCAATGATCTTTTGGATGCCCTCTTCGGATCATGTTGATATAGTTCCTTGAACCTTGCTAGTAGATACTGGCAGGTTGAAGTTGAAGAATCGGATTGACTGAAGACTGCCTTTATGACCCC